ACTGTTCCATTGCCTCTTGTATCAGTGATGCAGCGCCCTTAGACAGACTAATCAGACGAGAAACCGCAAATCCGTGCCCTAGGGACATCAATTTCTCCCTAGCCCATTTCCTTAATACATACTCACTCATTTTTTTCTAATTTTTGTCAGTCCCGCTTCCACTACTCACATAGTATAACTTGTTTGGATAGTTATTAAGTAGTATTACATTGTTACCTCGGAAAGTCCTACTTTACGAAACAACTAAATTGATGTGGTAAATTGTTTCTTATTTTTCTTTTTTAATTATACCTTTACTTTCTAATTTAATTGCTAAATATATTTACAAGACATAATTAGTGATAAATTAATAAAAAAGGTTTATATCATTCTTATTGTAATTCTTGATAAATTTAATATTTAAAACAGTTGAAGTTATTCTTATAAACTTATTAGTTACAGTACAATAAAATATAGTCAAATCAAACAATAAAAATACGGAAAAGGATAAAAAATGCCCTTAACGTATTAGAAATGGTTTAAAAATGTCCTCCTTCCGCCTATTGTGTTAAAAATACCCTTGAAGTTACTTTTAGGATTACAAATACCCCTTTTTTAACAGAATCATGACATGGCATTGTTGAGTCTTTTAATTAAACATATGTTGTTAATTTATTGGTCCACATGGATTTCTGCCCAACTCAAAGGACCCGACCCACCCATGACTGAACCAAACACCCCAAACCCTTTTATCCGTTAACATTGATTCCTCCTTCCTTCTCCTGCTACTCTTCTATCATTATATCTCCTTTCATTCAGCTTGTTTTTATTCTGTAGACTCAATAACATCATTATCAGTCGTCATAAAGAATAATGTGTGAAATAATTGAGAACATTAGAATAATAGAGAACCAATTTCACATCTCAGCTTTCTCTTTTTTCAAAAATCACTCCTGGGTATCATGTTGGAAACATAAGAGAAATTCCCAAGGCCAGAAGTAAACTTATAGCTAGTGGGGGGGGGGGGGGGGGTTATAGCTAGTGGAGGAGAGAAGGATCGGAGGCAGGGTGGTAGGCGAAATTGGAGTCTCTACCACTGGAAGATAAGGATCGTAGATGAAAATCAAACTATTTGTATTTTCCTTCACCGGCTATTTTCTCGAAGTTGCATCAATGGCCGAATTTGATACTACTGCTGTTTCCAGATTAACATCTCTCTCGACCTCTTCTTTGTTCGATCTTCTTCTACTTGGTTTTTTTTTTTCAATTCATTTTTTGTATTGATAATTAGGAAAAATGCTTCTGGGAATTACTTCTTGAAACTTACTAGATTGCCAACAAGACAAAAATGAAAAATCAGTAGAAGAGAGGTAAGTTGGGAACACTCTCCGAGAACCCATCGAAGGAACTCTCTCCTAGAACCTATCGAAAGAACTTTAGTTTCCCCTTAGAGAAATCGAAGCAATCTGCAAAACAAATGTTTTCTTCTACCTGACAAAGGCACCCCTATTCAATCTCTGGCCGTGGAAGAAGAAGAAGAATGAGTTGGGATAATCAAAAAAGGAAGTTGGACGTTGGGTTCAGTCATGGATGGGTCGAGTCCTTTGAGTTGGGTCAGATATCCATGTGGACCAATAATTTAAGGCCATATGTTTAATTAAAGACTCAACAATGCCATGTCATGATTATGTTAAAGGGAGAGACATTTGTAACCCTAAAACTAACTTTAACCCAATAGGTTGAAAGAGGGATTTTTAAACTATTTCTAATACTATAAGGGAATTTTTGACCCTTTCCGATAAAAATATTATTTGACAAAGTAATCTATTCAAACGTTACGTCCATAAAATCATACAGTAGAATACAATCTGTTATATGAGGTAGGTGTTATCTTATAGTGGATATATTTGGTCAAAAGGAAGTAACTTTATTAAAACTATATATGGATTTAAAAAATGAAGAGCTTGTGACCTTTATGTGAATGGCACACTCCCTAGTATACTATAATATTTGCCTTCTCAGCCTTAGTGTGGAGAGCACACTCCACCCTATTTTAATATACCAAAGAAAGTATGTCCTGTGTCTCTCTCTTTTTTTTTTGGTTGCATGTCCTGTGTCTCTATTCATGCATGCAAGTGCTTTCCTATACAGCATTCCATGTTCACAGTCCACATTATTGTCACTGGAAATGAGGTTTGACCGAAAAGATGGTGAATCAATGGCAGATATGAAACTGCAAATTCATTTCTCAAAGTTAAAATCTGTTAATAAACAAATGCAAGCTTTTAGCAAACAGCAAAAAGAGATAAAATCCATAACTGCATGCCACCAGGCCTTGTGCTCACCACACTACTATTACTTTATGGCACCACTCTCTGCTCAGGGTGATTATTTATTAGACATCTGCTCTATATATAACTATCAGAGGGAATATTGAATCTTCATAAACAAGAAATCCTGAACAAGAAGTCATCCTTTCTCAAACAATTCCTTAAATAATTTCTTAATGCATGGCTGCTTAAAACGATGTCACTCGTATATTGGAAAAGAAAGATTTGCCATAACACAAAACCTTGCTCCTTTAAATTTGCTTCGCGATAACACAATACCTTGCTTCGCATCATCAAATCTTGCAGAATTTTATTTTGTAGCAGAGTTGCAGTTCAAGTTGAAGTAACATACTAAAGAAGAGTTTATCTGAACCACAAACTAATCCTCTATGGAACCACAACAACCTGTGACGACTAAGCAATAACACAGGTCAACAAATTAAAGTTAAAAATAATAAAAATAAAAATGGCAAACATAACATCTATTAAAGCATATGGATGATCACCGGACTCACGACTGTCAGGGAAATGGATCTGAAGCTACTGTCAGATAATGGAGTTTCCTGTACAAAAGAAGATGGATTACAACAACTATGCCTCAATCTCAAGCAATCTTGGGTCATTTATATGAGTTGTCACCTGACCAAAATTGTTTCATGCAAACTGATGTCCAAGGTGCTTTCCCTATACTGTTGCATCCTCACAAGCCCCTTTCTCCAAAGATCAAATGGCCATATGAGTGCTTCAAGCTTTAAAAACTATGTCATTTTGTCTACTTATAAAAGGGGAGGAAGAAAAAAGAGTAGTACCAGAAATCCATACGACATCTATCAGTTTTGTAAGCATTGCGAAAATTATATAAGACATTTGCAAGAAGGTTCTAATTCTTAGTTCAGAACATAATGATAATATGTGACCGTGAGAGTACAAGGAAATAAACTGGTTTAACCACCAGTGATACAAAGTTAGCATGCAATATATGCCTAGGCATCTGAAGGATTTTGCATGATAGTGTTTTTTCAAGCAAGACTTGTGAAATTGGGAGCGAGCTAGAATGTACATTTCCGTTATATATTACTCTTTTCCTCCCATTTTGCAGGACTGCACTCATTTTAACGTATTGTCAGAAGAAGCAACTTTTTACCATTAACGCATTGATACTACAGAAAATGAAAGAATGAATGATGCATCTTTCATGAAAATTAAAATATGGTTGCAGTATTGCAGACATGGTATTTCCTGCAGTGAGCATTGATCTCTGCAGTTACAGTGAAGTCTTTTGCAGGGCTGCTATTGCATTATCATGCTTGTTCGTTTGGGGGAGTAAACTCATGAACTTATTCAAAGTTTTTACTACCATTTTCAACTTTCTTTCAACTCCAACTTGCTTAGAAGTAAATATCAACTTAATTTGGAAATTTTTACTGATTTTTGACTATACAAATGCAAGAATTTAGAAAGCAAGCAAAGCTATCTGTATTATGCTCCGTATCATAATATAAAAGAAAGATGGCATATGAGGCTCTTACAAGAACATGTAAATTGTGTAACCAATACTACTAAGAAAAATAAAAAAGGGTAAAACATAAAATAAAATAAAAAATTTTAAAAATGATAGACTGAATGCAGGGGTATCTCTTAGTTGAGTTAGGTGTTATCTTATAGTGGATATATTTGGTCTAAAGGAGGTAACTTTATTAGATCTCTGGATTTAAAAAATGAAGAGCTTGTGGCCTTTATGTGAATGGCACACTCCCTGAAATACTATTAATCTTTGCCTTCTCAGCCATAGTGTGGAGAGCACACTCCACTCTATTTTATATACTCCACCAAATTAAAAAATTGTCTCTATTCGTGCAAAGTGCTTTCCTATACGGCATTCCATGTTCAGAAGCTCTTCTTTCCAGAAATCATGAAGTCATTTCATAATCAGCAATGGGAATTAAAACAGTACTTCGATGGCGTCTAGCTCCCAATCTCAGGTTTTGACTCTTAAAAGAGAACCATCATGTTGAAATACTACAAGATAAAAAGTATTTGTCACCAATTATACTGGGAATTGTCACTATAAATAAGGTTTTAACAGGAAAATGCGGAACCAGTATGAAACTGCAGATTCATTTTGCAAAGTTGGAGAAGTGTTAATGAACAAATGAAAGGTTTTCCCAAAGCATGCAATCAGCAAACAAAAGTAACAACCAAAACTGCTACCTATCCTTGTGCTCAGTGTTGTCAAAGGCGAAAAGCTCTAAAAAGCGCTCTAGGTCTATTTGGACTTTAACCGCACTTAAAGTGTGGGCTTTAGTTAAAAAAGGCGCAATGAAGGGAAAAAAAAAACTTATATGAACAAATTCACTCATAATGTTTTCCTTAGCAGCTAATACACTTATTTCTGATTATAGTTGTTGTTTAGTACCGCTTGATTCAAGAGAGAACTCATAGACAATGAGGCGCATGACTTAGTGCCTTGCTTTACACTGAAGCGACTTAAGTAAGGCGAAGTGTCCTCCTTGAGCTTTTCTGACCTTTAGGGCTTAAGCGCGCCTTAAATGAGCTTTTGACAACACTGTTTGTGCTCAGTGCTCACCACACTACTATTTTTTTATGGTACCACTTTCTGCTTAGACTGATGAATATTTAGTCATCCTCTCCTATATAATAACCATCAGAGGGAAGATTGAGTCTACAAAAACAAGAAGTCCTTCAATTTCTCAAAACAATTCCTTAGAAAATTTTCTTCATGGCTGCTCAAAACCATGTGCAAATTACCATCCCTAAAGAACATGACAACCAAAACCAAAACCAAGTCCCTGAAGAGGACTTTGACTACTCCCAAAGGGGTCAGTGGCTTCGAGCAGCTGTGCTAGGAGCCAATGACGGCTTGGTTTCAACTGCATCTTTGATGATGGGTGTTGGAGCTGTCCAAAAGAATGTCAACGCCATGATCCTAACCGGCTTTGCTGGGTTGTTTGCTGGTGCTTGTAGCATGGCCATAGGGGAGTTTGTTTCTGTGTACTCTCAACTAGACATAGAGCTAGCTCAAATGAAGAGGGACAAAACAACAGGAGGACAGAACCAAGAACATCAACAACAACAAGAAGAAGGCAACAAGGAGCAGCTGCCAAATCCATTTCAGGCAGCCGTAGCCTCAGCTATTGCATTTTCACTGGGTGCCATTGTGCCAATTCTTGCTGCTGCATTTATAGCAGATCATAAGGTGAGGCTAGCTGTGATTGTGGCTGCAGTGAGTTTGGCATTGTTAGCATTTGGAGGAATTGGTGCTTTTTTGGGCAGAAGTCCTATGCTGAAATCCTGTGCCAGAGTTTTAATTGGTGGCTGGATGGCTATGGCCATTACCTTTGGCCTTACCAAACTGATTGGTTCTACTGGCTTAGAGATGTGATTGGAACTTTATGATTCCTGTCTCTTGTGCTAGTTTCAAGTTATCTGTTTAAGAAATTTCTGCTGCATTGTTGACTAAATTTCCTGACTAAGACTAAAATAAATGCAAGAAATATCTGTGTTATAATTCTGCTGCAAATGCTTAAGAATGGTATTGCCGCGTTCTCCGAATTTTATCTGTCGGAACTGAAAGACTAACTGTAACATAAAATCTTGCTTCTTCCATATGCTTGGTTGAATTTTTTAGCAGACTTTTGAACTTCTGAACCATGTTGCTATTAACACCTGTCACAATCTAAAATTCAACCGCTTAAGCACTTCGAAAACAATTGGAGGTATTATTTTATAAAATTTGATATACTCTATTCCATAAGCATCACGATCCCATACATTGCTTCGCTACTTGATGAGGAATGCATTCAGATGACAATTCCAAAAATAGTTTTTTGACTGGATGTTAACATTTACTTCTATGTATATGGTGCAATCTAGGCAAACAAGGTAGTACCCCAACCAAGAATTCCTAGGCCTGCTAACCCCTCAAGTTATGCAATAATGGCAAGTAGCTACTCTTTTTACTGAAATGAAAGAGAACCCTATTGACTATACTTCATTATCGGAATAGAAATATATTGCATGAGGTTCCTTCAACTTCCATTCCATCTTGTTCTCAATATTACTAAGTGTTTATATCTTGAAATATAAAAGAAGACGATATATTATGTAATGAAGAACTAAGTAGAGATTAAGAAAAAGGACAGAGAGAAGATAAAAACTTAGAACAGTTTAAAAGAAAGGCAGAATGGCCTAAATGGCACCTATACTTGTCTCACTTTATCATGCCGGTTCCCAAACTTAACAATTTGCCAATTGAACAGTTACACTCCTTTAAACCGTGTATAATAAACGCTTATGACACGACACTTTCAGTGTGTGTAATGCAATCTCCTACACATAGGACGCCACGTCAAGAAATTAAACCACGTAGGCTCCAAGTCATTTATTATGGCCACATAGGAAAATAAAATGGGAAATGATTATTAACCCCAACCCAAATTTTCCCCTCATTTTATACTTATCCGCTTAGGTTTAGTCCCTGATGATGGCGACGACTTGGGTCGGCGGCGGAGGTTGTCGGCCACGGTTCCGTGGTTCACGCCTCCGCTAATGAGCCGTTACAGAAAAGGAGTGTGGAGATAACAGAGTTTAGCCATGAGAAGGTGTTGTGGGGTGGGGGGGGGGGTTAACGGGTAACGGGGTAGGAAGAAGAAGCTTACATGGGGAACAAAAACGGANNAAAACCATTTTCATGAATTTTTTTGTTGTCACAACCAAAATCAAATAGAACACTCATCTAAATAAACGGATCTCAAAACGTTGAGATGGAGAAGGGGTTGATACAAAATTCAATTAAAAATTTAGGAAGTATGACCCTCCTCTGCATCGGCTGCTTCAAAGGTTTGGCCAGCCACAAGTTCCGGCACCTCATTATCTGCAGCAACACCTTCGGGCGCCCCGGTAGATGGGGCAGCAATAGGTGCTTGCTTGTGGAACTGCTCTGCTAGCTTCTTCAAATTCTCCAAATTATCAGGGCCCAACTAGTGAATATTGAGGAAGAATATCCTGCAACTTCTTGGTCAGAGGGGAAAATACGCTTGGGTATTAAATCAAAGTAAGGAGAAAGAGAAAGGTGGGCATGGGGAAGAACAGATCCACCTGTTTGCTTCAAATATTTGGATCCACCCGTTTTCTTTTTCTTTTTTTACTTATTTTATATTTTATTCTTATTTTACTAATTTTTTCTTCTTATTTTAATTATTTCTAGTTCAAAATGCTCAAACTCACGCTCATTATCCGCGTGAATTACACCCACTTGTCCAGCTCAACCATTATTTTGCCACATGTGCTTGGTCAACGGTCAGAAGGGTTTAAATAATAGGTTTTTATCAAGTTAAAGTGTATAGATGAAAACAAGTAAAGTTTGGGGACCGGCATGACAAAGTGGGACAAGTATAGGTGCCATTTAGGCCATTCTGCCTAAAAGAAAAGCAACAGACATAGATACTATTTGAGTCATAAACATGAAAACAAGTAGCTATAAGTAAACATAGAGACTTCCTTAATTAACCAGATATTTTGAGTGTCTTAAGAAAATCAGGGTCCACCTCTTCTAAATCATCATCTCTGTAGAAATCTTCTAGTATAGTCTCTTCTGCAGCCTTTCCTCTTCGTCTTCGATTTTATCATAATTACGTTCCTTTAACTTTGCGGCCTCTACTTTTCACTCAAAATCCAGAGCCTCTTCGCGGCAGCCACAACGACACTCAACTCTAACCCTAGCAAACATTTCTTCAGCCAACAACCTTAGGGTGGATATATCACAACTACAATAAGAGAATGGGAACGACATTCCCAGTTTCACAAATTCAAGTGTAAGATCAGCAGGTGTTGCAGCTCTGTTAGACAGACTAATCAGATGAGGAACATCCGCAAAACCCTAGGGACATCAATCTCTCCCCAGCCCACTCCGTTAATACATAGTGACACCTCATTCTCTTTCTCCTTTTATACTTCTACTAGTATTAGTACCCGCACGATGCGTAAATAACTAAAAAGAACGATATACACCGTAAAGTTTAATATGTTAGTGTTAATACCATCTTTACAACCAAACATTTTAAGACTCCAGTAAAACTTTCATTCCATCTCCTAATAAATGTTCCATAAAAAATAATGATACTATACAATTTGTTTGATATGAATGTTCCACGAAAAATAATGATGTTATACAATTTGCTTGATATGAAGCATGTGCTTAAGGGAACATTTTTGTAGCAAATGCTTATGATATATTGCAGTGAATTTTCCAAAAGTTGTCCTCTGTATTGAGTCAATGATGAAGGAACATGAATTATGTCAAACATTAGCTTATTCAGAATCAAAATGTATGCGGCAATGCACATGCAAAAACTGATTTCCTGCTAAGGCTCTCTCTTTATTCACTACAAAAAAAACTGAAATTAGCTACGAACTTCGTCGCTAATATGTCACTAGAACGCTCGTAGCTAGCAGAATTTTTTGATAATCCGTTGCTAATCCGTCGCTCAATGAGATTAGCGACGGATTTTTCAGTTTAGCTACAGAATTTGTCCGTCGCTAAAACCTGATTTTTTAGTAGTCATTATTGTATGCCATCTGTGGTAATTGAAACTTTTTACTCTTTCTACCATTCCACAGGCTTTGTCTATTAGCCTAACAATAACATAAAGAGTAAAGTTTAATTTTTTTACCATTCCACAGGCTTTATTCAGCGACGTGACGGGGGGAGCGGATATAGAAGTCAGGCTTGACTCACAGGTCATCCTCAAGAGAGAAAGTTTTAAGTACTTAGGGTCAATTATCCAGGGAGATGGGGAGATCGACGGGGATGTTATGCACTGTATTGGTGTGGTGTGGATGAAATGGAGGTCAGCGTCTAGAGTCCTGTGTGACAAGAATGCGCCACCAAAACTCAAAGGTAAGTTCTATAAAGCGGTGGTTAGACCGGCCATGTTGTATGGAGCTGAGTGTTAGCCAGTCAGGCATTCACATATCCAGAAGATGAAAGTAGCAGAAATGAGGATGTTCAGATGGATGTGTGGGCACACTAGGCTGGATAAGATTCGGAATGAAGATATTCGGGATAGGGTAGGCGTGGCTCCCGTGGACGACAAGATGCGGGAAGCGCAGCTTAGATGGTTCGGACACGTGCGGAGGAGAAGCCTAGATGCACCTTTTAGGAGGTGTGAGCGGTTGACTTTGGCAGGTACGAGAAGAGGCAGAGGACGGCCTAAGAAGTATTGGGGCGAGGTGATCAGGCAGGACATGGAGCGGCTTCAGATTTTCGAGGACATGGTTCTTGATAGGAACATGTGGAGGTCGAGCATTAGGGTGGTAGGCTAGGGGGTAGTCGAGAGTTCTTCCCTCTTTGTACTGGGTAGTCTAATAGAGTTTCGTTTAGGTTTGTTAGCGGTCTTTGTTGTATTCACATTGTTGTTTTGCATAGTTTTGTGTTATTGTCCTTTCATTTATTTGCTGTGGTTATTTTCTTTCTGGTATCTTTTGTTGTTACATGTCTTTTCTCTTATTTCCTTTTGATATTATTGCCTCTCCTGTTGATCCGAGAGTCTCCTGGAAACAGCCTCTCTGCCCTTTTCGGGGTAGGGGTAAGATCTGCGTACACTCTACTCTCTCCAGACCCCACTAGTGGGATTTTACTGGGTATGTTGTTGTTGTTGTTGTTGTTGTATTTAGAAGGTGAAAGACTTTTTTGCAACAAAGAGCTAACTCTTATAGTATGAAATAAAGAGTAAAGTTACTTCAAAATAATGACATAACAAAATATTGGTAAGAATCACTTAGTTCATAGCCAAAGCTAACTGCTGAAAAGTAAGTCAAGTACTCCACTAAGTTATTTTAGTTAAATCTTGTGCAACAACTCATGAATTTTTCTCCTTTTTAATCACTTTCTTCATCCTGTTGCTTGATAATTGTCCCACATAATCATCAACTTCTACAGTGGTTGCTCCATCATCGTCTCTAGTTCTCTTGGCAGGGGTCCGTTTAGGAGAGTTCATCTCATTATCAGCCATAGAATCCTACAAAAGCAAAACAATGAAGGTTGACATAATCAAAAGTAGAAAATCATTTACCATTGTCAATGTATAATGAGAAGCTCTTTAATGAAACTACACATTAATCACCTTGTCTCTCATATCTCCACTTGTGACTTGTTCATTATTGAAATCTGTATCCTAATTTGATATCATAGTTGAAAAGTTAACAAAATAATAGTAAGTTTTAGCATTGAACTCACAATTCAATATATATTATGAGGAATTTGAGTAAAGATCATATACAGTAAAGGTATCTGCTTTTGAAGACGGACTATATTTTTGTATAATGTCCTCATTGTCGCTGACCTTAACGACAATATAAACTTCATCATTCTCCTTGATGTTGGAAGGTTTAACCGTTAGATTAAACATGAATTTTCTATCCACAATAGCTTCAATCTCCAATGGATGAGAACACTCAAGCAGCACTAGAAGTCTAAACCAATGTTAGTATTAGAAGTGCTAAAAACTACGAAACAGTGGAAATAAAATAACATACTTCTACTACACCT